GGTGTTGCGCCCGTACCGGGGACCGGCAACGGGATCCCAACTCTCGGTGTTGCGCCCGTACCACGCTCAGCCAGTGAGCGGGAACCGGTCTCCACATGGGATCCGAACCCACGGTGGGAGCGCCGCTGCGCTCCCAAGCAGCTCACTCTCCAGGGCGCCACCGGGCCGGCCCCAAAAGTCTATTTTATTTAACCACTTCATTATTGTTGATTAAGTGGTAAACAGCATTACCGTGAATATCCATGTTCCCAGTTCTTGGACACATTCTTAGTTATTTCCATAAGATAAGTTTCTTTTTTTTTTTTTTTTTTTTTTAAAGATGACTGGTAAGGGGATCTTAACCCTTGACTTGGTGTTGTCAGCACCACGCTCACCCAGTGAGCTAACCGGCCATCCCTATATGGGATCCGAACCCGTGGCCTTGGTGTTATCAGCACCACACTCTCCCGAGTGAGCCATGGGCCGGCCCCCATAAGATAAGTTTCTAAAAGTGGAATTGGATGTTTTAGAAGCTTTCGATACATATTGACAAATATCTTTAAGTTTCTACTAATTTGCGTTTGTACTTGCAGTGTATACAGATATGCTTTTCTTCTCACATCCTTACCAAACTTAGTGTTGCTCTTTTTAACCTTTTGTTTTGTCCTTTTATTTATTTATTTATTTTTTCCTTTTTGTCTTTTTTCGTGTCCAGCAACGGATCACAACCCTCAGTGTCGCGCCCGTACCGAACCGGGACCGGCAATGGGATCGCAACCCTTGGTGTTGCCCCCGCACCTCGCTCAGCCAGTGAGCGGCCGGTCTGTATGTGGGATCCGAACCCTCGGCGGGAGCGCCACCACGCTTCCCAAGTGGCGCACTGTAGCAGTGCGCCACCGGGCCGGCCCCTGTTTTGTCCTTTTAATATTTGAGTTTCCATAGCTAAGATATATGATACCAGGGAGGAATTTAAAATAAATAGAAATTTGCGTATACTCTATTGTATGAGGGGTATAACGTGTTGGTTATAGGAAAAGACAAACAACAGGTTCCACTTATTTTTTCCTCTGTCTCTCATATCCACAGTTAAAGCTTTAACTTTGTAAAACTACTTTCCAGGCATTGATCACTCAGACTCGAGCCAAACAGGCAGCTACCATGAGCGAGGTGGAATGGAGAGGGCGAACGGTTCCAGTGAAAATCGACAAAGTGAGGATCTTTTTATTGGGACTGGCTGATAACGAAGCAGCCATTGCCCAGGTAAGGAGGAGGTGCCTGTGTGACTCTGAACATTGTCCTTGTGTGTTTAAGATGCAGTCATTTGTTGATGTTCATTTCTCACAAATCATCTATTTGTCTTAATGCTGTTTGGGATTTGGTAAGCCTGGAGATGCACCCTTTTGAATGAAATTATTTTGAAAACTGGGTTTATAGAGTTCTTGTGTTTAGAGGGCACAGAAATTGACGGTTACAGTTGTCAACATACAAATGCGAGCAGTAAGAGGCTGACTTACAGTGAGGGTCACATTGGGCCCAGCAGGTGGTGTAGCTGCTTAACTAGTATGTCCCTGAAGTCTCTCTAACCTTTGTCCTAGCCTTCTAGCCTTAAAGGGGTCACTTCTCATTCTTGAACCTTTTCAGGAGAGCCTGTTAAACCAGAATATCTTGTTTTGCGTGCCGTATACATGTAATATTCATGCAAAGCTGTACTACTTGATTCTGCTTGTTGACATAATTACTTATTTGAGGGTGTAAACAACTAAATGCTCGCAAAAGATAAGAGATCCTGGTGATCTTGGTTTGTTTGAAGTAGACAGTGATTAAGGCACTTTTTAGAGCTCCTTCATATGAGGACATCTTTAAAAAAAACGAGGCTGTTGCCTCACAGGGACCAGTGGCATTTCCTAATACTTCACAGTAATTATTGTACCCCAAATAATTTGTATCTGGGGTGTCAGGGGGTACTTTGTCAATTGTGTGGATGAGTTGTGTTAAGCATCAACTTTTCAATGACTTGTTCCAAAATGGCTACTTTAGGTTGGGGGCAGCTTTCAACAATTGAAGAATTGAATGTGTCCTTGTCTGTGTTGCACATTGCCTCTCTCATTTCTCTTTTATTTGCTTAAAGAACAGAAAACTAGAACAAAACCGGAAAGTTAATTTTTCTTTAAAAGACTGAGTAACGTTTTTTTTTTGTTTTGAGAACATTTTATTGGCACTAGTGTGTGACGGTACCTCATTTGGACTGGGGCTCTGGTAGTAGCTGTTTAGATGTGATTAGGTTAATTCTTTTGTTTTAAAGTGATAAGTGCTGGAAGAAAAGAACCATCTTGGTTCTGTGCCAGGCATCAGTGACAACAGGACAGGAATTCTGAGTGTGGGGAGAGAGGTCCTTGGAGGCAAGTTAAATGGGGGCTTCTTAAGAATGGGGCTGCAGACATGTATCAAATAAAGGACAAGAAAAGTTAACATTTATTAAGTTATTTTATTTATTTATTTATTTATTTATTTTTTTTGTCTTTTTCCGTGTCCAGCAATGGATGGCAACCCTCAGTGTCGCCCCCGTACCGTTAAAGATGGACCTATCGTCTCACTTCCTGTGTACCTTCGTTGATATTGCATTGTGCAGATGGTCTCCAGCTTACGATTTTTTTTAACTCTACTACAGGTTTATCTGGGTACTAAATGCATTTTTGATTTACCATGGGTTTATCAGGACATAACCCATCATAAGTCAAGGGAAAAGGAAAGCAATGTATTTTCTTTTTATCTTTTTTGTATTCTTGAGAGGTCTTAGGTATTTTTTTTTCATGTTTAACAATCTTTAATTCAAATGTGAAAGTTCAATACAAGCCATTCGTAGGGCTTGGGATTTGTTGATATACTAAAAACAAGAATGCAGAAATGCAACAAAATGATCTTTCCATTTTTCAAAACTTTCAAGGATAGATCATAGGGCCAAAAAAGATCCATTTAACCCAACCCACTTTCTCCCCCTACCAAGACTTACACCCATTCCATAATCTGAATACGTATTCCTGAACAAAGAGAGAGGTCCTAGGTATTTTTGCTTGTTTGTTGGAATTACACAGATGATTTTGTATTCTCTTTTTAACATGTTGTGAGAGTTTTTCATATTATTACAAATCATGTCACAATTTTTTTTTAATACCTGGCGGTCATCTGGACAGACTCCACAGAGATGAGCAGGGAGGGTAATGATCCTCCTTAATGTGCCAGATTCACTGTTTAATGCTTTCGTGCTTGCGTCTTTTTAACCCTGTGGGGCAGGTGATATTCTCATTTTACAGATGGGGAAACTTCTCAGAGAGACTGTGTAACTTGCCCAAAGTCATGTACTGGTAGAGACGAGTGCTTGGATTTAAAACCACGCCCTCTTGACTCCAAAGCTCAAGTACCTGGCACTTTTCCGTATATCCTCTTAGATTCATCAGGAAAGCTAGTAATAGGATCATTTTATTTGACTTTGAATAGCTAGATGCAGTTTCACTTAACAGAGTAAATAGAGTCCTGGGCCCTTAATAAAGACTGAATAAGCAGAACCTTCTCTGAAACAAATAGTCTTTGGCAGTTGAACCACCTCTATTTCAGTGCATTAGTCCGGTTCCCCAGTGGGAGGAAAAGGTATAGGGATGTTTTACCTGAATTTATCTTTCTCTTGCTTTTTATACATAATTAGAGAATCAGGACTTAAATGGGGGGTTCTTTTTTGCCTTATTCATGAAATAATTCAATTTGGACTAAATTGGACCAAGTGAAGAAAATGTTTTACAGCTGCACAGAAGCCATTGCTTTTAAAATTGAAGGTCACTTCAATCATGTGATGAGTAGTTGAGCTTTGTGCACATTTTTCAAAGGGTGACCCTCAAACTTGAATTTCAGTATAGTTGAAGGTCCTTTTCAAGAAGAAAACAAACCTTCAATGAACAGCTCCTTGCAGTAATGTAAAAGCTCAGTAATGAAGGTGATACATTTTGTGTTGAACATTTTCCAGAGATCTTCAGCATCTATTTAAGCCCATTATCCTCTATGTCTTTCTTACATTGCTTCAGTTCTTAAATTTAAAAACATACCAGTACTTCTGCACACAAGGTTCAGAGCTCTTCCCACTGGACATGTTTGGTGCAAATCCATGGAGGAGGGTTGGTCCAAGGTTTTATTTTGAGGGTAAGTCAGGATCAATAGCCAGGGTTTCGTGTCCCAGCTGCTGCAGGCTTTCACTGCTGAATGAAGCCGCTCCTCAGTCAAATTGGGTCGTTAGGAAACCTAACATAAGATCTTCTCCTGTACCAGTAAAAATTGTTCTGTGCCGGTTCACTAGGAATATTATACAGGTTTTTAATATTACATATAAGATACAATGGAGTGTTTGAAGTGTATATAAAATTAAAGGATTGGAAGGCACCATATGGAGAAAGTATTAAACCTTTCAATTTGGAAAGATAAAGGCTGAAGGGGGAAGAGTATTTGTAACCTGTTAACATAGGGAATTATATTCATTTTTAATGTTAAACCAACCTTGCATATCTGGGATAACCTCACTTGGTTATGATATATTTTTTATATGTTACTGGATTTGATTTGTCAATATATTGAGAATTTTTGCATTTATTTTAAAAGGAGTAATGACCTATAATTATCTTTTCGTATATTTGATTTGTCAATATATTGAGAATTTTTGCATTTATTTTAAAAGGAGTAATGACCTATAATTATCTTTTCGTATATTTGATTTGTCAATATATTGAGAATTTTTGCATTTATTTTAAAAGGAGTAATGACCTATAATTATCTTTTCGTATATTTGATTTGTCAATATATTGAGAATTTTTGCATTTATTTTAAAAGGAGTAATGACCTATAATTATCTTTTCGTATATTTGATTTGTCAATATATTGAGAATTTTTGCATTTATTTTAAAAGGAGTAATGACCTATAATTATCTTTTCGTATATTTGATTTGTCAATATATTGAGAATTTTTGCATTTATTTTAAAAGGAGTAATGACCTATAATTATCTTTTCGTATGATAATGTCTTTTCCAGGGTTTGGTATCAGGTTTATACAAGTTGAATATCCCTTATTGGAAATGCTTGGGACCAATGTGTTTTGGATTTTGGATTTTTTTGGATTTGCAAATATTTACAGATACTGTATTTAATAGCTTGAGCCTCCCTAATCCAAAATGCTCCAATAACATCTCCTTTGAGTGTCACGTTGATGCTCAGTTTCGGGTTTTGGAGCATTTCAGGTTTCAGATTTTCAGATAAGGGTTGCTAATCCTCATAAAACAGGTTTGGCAGTATTCCAACTGTCTCTGTTTTCTGAAAGAGTTTATATAATTTTTTTTTTTTTTTTTTTTGCCTTAAACGTTTGTTATAATTCACTGGTGAAACCCTTGGGCCTGGAGTTTTCTTTGTGGGAAAGTTAAAATATATATATATTTCTTTGCTGTTTTAAACAAATTCAATTCCCTTAAGAGATGTGAAACTTTTCAAAAAGTTCATGGAAAGATTCATATTATCTTTTAATTCTGTTTTTCCATGAACTTTTTGAAGTGCTCTCATATAAGGCTATTCAGAGTTTCTATTTCATCTTGTGTCGGTTTAGATGAGGCTTATTTTTAAAAGGAATTTATTAATTTCATGTAAGTTTAATTTATTGACATAAAGTTTATAGTATAATATTCCCTTATTTTAATGTTTATACAGAGTGTTTTCTCCTATTATGTGCCTGGTTAATGTTTTATGTACAGTATACAATTATCTCTGGTTTTTAAGGATTTTACAAATGCCTTAGGGTGACTTCTGAGTATTGTAGACCTTTAAGTAATATGGTGGATGTAAAGGATGTAGGTCAAGCAAAATGTGCACTAACCCCAGGGCATCCTGGTAAGGTTTTAACATTAAAAACAGTTGAATACCTAATGTCTTATATCACACATACCCCAAAGCAAGCCGGTAAGTAAAATAATTCAAGTACAGTGTCAAAGAAGGTCTAGTTAAATCCTTAGATGTCAGGCCTAGCACTGTAGATGATTAAATGTCTGTTGAATGAACCACAGGTTATTAAATATGGAAAGATGCCCTTTGGCCAGTTGAGGTTAATCCTAAGAAGAACCACTTGCCCCTTGGTGCCACTGTCAGTTTATTTGGCCAGATATAGCGTGGGCCTTACCTGCTTGGCCAGTTCTCATTATTATATTGAGTTGTTTTCTATCCTGGAAACCAAGAACTATGCTTTAGAGATATACAAGGCACTTAATTTCATTTTCTCTTAACTAGCTGGTATTGGTTTTTGCCACTTTCTAGGAACTGGAATGCAAGAATTTGGTAGCCCCAGCTTATTGCTTGCTTGTAGAGGTTCTTATGATGTCTAAATACTAAAATAGCATAGAAGTTATGAAAGTTATGGAAGGAAGAAATAATTCAGGGAGATAAAGTAATTCAGGGAGAAAAGACTTGATCTGAGACTTAATCAGCTGCCAAAATCCACTTGCAAAATCCCTAGTCTCTTTCGCCAGGCTTTGTCTTCACATCTTTTTTGGTTTTTTTTTTCCCTTTTTGTCTTTTTTACTGACCGGTAACGGGATCGCAACCCTCTGTGTCGCGCCCGCACCACGCTCAGCCAGTGAGCGGGAACCGGTCTCCACAGGGGATCTGAACCCTCGGCGGGAGCGCCACCGCGCTCCCAAGCGGCGCACTCTCCAGTGCGCCAGCAGGCCGGCCCTGTCTTCACATCTTTAATGTTGACTTACTTTAGGTTGTATTTCTATTTTTTCTATTTTTAATGGTGTTTTTTTTCCTTTGTGGCTGGCCGGTGTGGGGATCTGAACCCGTGACCTTGGTGTTGTAAGGCTGTGTTCTAACCAACTTAGCTAATGGGCCAGCCTAGACTATTTTTATTTTGCTTTCTTAATTGATCACTCCTGAATTGTCACTGGTGGTTGCATGTGAGGATGTTCTCAGGCAGCTCTTTTTTGGGGGGAGGGCAGGTTCTAAGCATCTGCAGGCTTAATGATTCTTATCCTTAAATCTGATTAATAATTAATATTTAAGTGAAAGGGAGACCTTTTTTTTTTTTTTCAAAGATGACCGGTAAGGGGATCAAAGATGACCAGTAAGGGGATCTTAACCCTTGACTTGGTGTTATCAGCACCACGCTCTCCGAAGTGAGCTAACCAGTCATCCCTATATAGGGATCCAAACCCGTGGCCTGGGTGTTATCAGCACCACACTCTCCCAAGTGAGCCACAGGCTGGCCCTGAGACCTTCTTTAAAAAAGAAAATCTGTTCTCCAGTGAGGTTTGTCTCCTCCTTTACCAAATCTCCATTTGTTTTTCCCTGGACCTTACTGGGCTGGGTGAGGCTTTGTTCCCATCACCAGGGTTCTCCTATGGGTGTGGTGGGGAATGTGGTCAGACTCGCCTTGAATGTCTCTTAGTCACACCACCACCTTCCAGCAATTTCTGTAGACAAGTGAAAACAATCTAGGATTCTGTTTTTAATAGAAGGAGGTCTGTAACCTCAGGACACACAGCAGCTGAGTTTCCTCTGTACCAGTCAGCCTTGAGATACTGCTTGAGAAGAAAATCAGAGACTATAGAAAAGCACATCCTGGATGTTTCAAGTTTTGTAAAACGTGATCTAGAATTTATTTATTAAGACTAATAAGTAACACATTACTTTTAGGCTTAAGATTTCTCTATATCATAGGCACACCTCGGGAAAAGGACACCAGACCACAAATTCTTATGCAGGGAGTTATAAGAATTCCTTATATTTAGGAAGATATTTTTGTTGGTTCAGTGGCTGACGGGGAAGGTCGCTGTGTAGGTGTTAAGGAGTCCTGCCTCTACACGTTGAGAGGTGTTTCTTGTTCCATTGTCCTTTCAGGAATCATCTTGGCCTCAAACAGAGGTTTATGGAATAAAAGTGTACGTAGCAAAATATATTTAAGACTTGCTGTTTGGAGACATTTTTCCCTGCCCAGGGAGAATCATGAGATGTTCTACTTCAGAGATTGGTGGTCTCTGAGTCACTGTGCAGTGCGGGCGCCAAAAGAAACTGACTTAAGTCCTGCCCTTCAGATGTGCTTTTTCCTTCATTGTTGTTTAGGACGTTTGCAGAATTCCCAATGGAACTTAGATTTTGTGGAAGCAGTGGGGAAGTTTGCTTGTGTTCAGCACCTTGATGCAGAGGTTTACTTAGTCAGGGGGAACAAAGGTAATATGTGGCAGTAAAGGGATTTAGCATTTTAGCGTGATTTTAATTTTTTATTTGAACCATACCCTACCTACAGGAAAGAATACAGATGCTGCATGCCTGGTGAAACAAAGTTTACTCTTTTGAGTGGGTAAAACCCATTGCCTCAATTGCTGAACTCCATGTATCTGAAAAAGGGTGTTGGAGTCATATTTGTTGGGTTGCATGGTATTGAAACTGGTGCTGTAGCTCATCCTTTTGCTAATAATGTGGCTCTGGTGTATGTATGTGGTTGGTTGTTTTGTTTCTTAAACAGTGCCAAGTCTCACATATCTTATTCCCGTTGTTAAGTATTCCAGATTCACGTGTCTTTTTTTTTTTTTTTTTGGTGGCTGGCAGGTTACAGGGATCAAACCCCAGACCTTGGTGTTATCAGCACCATCATCTATCCAACTGAGCTAATAGGCCAGGCCAACATATCTTATTGCAGTTGTTAAGTATTATATAGCTACACCATTCCACAAGATTAACACTTTGAAAAGTTTGGCCAGCAAGTTTGATTTAATGATTATAAAGGATCTTGCCAAATTGAGGTGCTTAACAATGTTCTGTAAAGTGTATTTCTCTAGAGCCAAACTGTCCAGTAGAGTAGCCCCTTGACACATATGGCTATTTAAAATTAATAAAAATTTCAAGTGCTCATTAGCTACGTGTGACTAATGCCTATTGTATTGGACAGTGCAGATAGAGAACATTTCCATCCTTGCAGAAAGTTCTATTGGACAACGCTGCTCTTGTGTTTCACCAAGTTAATGGTGGCCACGTTTGCCTTAATAAACGTAAAGGATGACTGTGCCTCTCCAGTACTTATCAGTAGAAAAGTATGTTTGATTTATATTGGGTAATTTACAGAGAAGATTTTTTTCATATGAAAACTAGGAAAAACATTAGAGTTCTTACAAGAAGAAAGTTTTTCTTTAAGCCACTCCCAAACATCTCTTAAAGGAGCGGATAGCACTGTGTTTTCTTTTGAGCTTTCTCAGAGGTTAGTTGAATGTCAAGACATCTTTTCAGATTGGATGTTAGTTTCTGTGGAAAGTCAAATACAGTAATGGAATGTTGATGTTTTAACTTCACACTGGCTCTGCCAGTGACACAAGTTCATCTCCTTTCATCCTTACGTCCATTCCCACCTGCTCAGGCAGATTCTTTAGGACGATAATGTGGTTTGGCAGGAATTCAGTCAATGAATCACTTTTTCACCTACCCCAGCTGTATAGAGGGGTGACGCCCAGTACTTGTACAAAGATTGTCATGTCATACTTGTCAACCTTGTGTGCCCTAAAAATTGTTCTCAGAGTCGGCCATGTGGAATATGTGAGTGCAGAATGTGTGTGGTGAAGAGGTATGATATTTAGAGGAGATCTCTTTTTGATTGTAACTTAGTATGATATTTAGAGGAGATCTCTTTTTGATTGTGTCTTGATTAGTAATGTTTATCACTTGCTCGGCCCTAAAAGAAATTCAGAATCTGCAAGTTGGGTTACATTTGTAAAGGCCAATTCTGTTGGCATGCAGTAGAACTTGACAGTTTGTTCTGGAAGGAAAAAGGGAAACAGACTTCTGCTGTGCCGTGCTTTAGTGTGAGGGAGCAGTGCCCCAAGTCTGGTCTTTAAGGCCCCTCCAGGAATGCCAGATGCTGGTTCTGAGCAGAGGTAGAAGTGTTGTGGAACAAGTAGTGGAAAGGTCTATGACAGGAAGAAATTGAAATCATCTGCTGCCTGACAAAGTTTCAAATCAGTTGTACAACTTTTTCATTACGTTTACTTTTTAACATATAATTCCCATTTCCTTGTGAATCATGAATATGGCTGTAAGAAAATCTCACGTGGTGGGAAATAGTAACAGTTAAAATGACCTCTGATTAGGGCGCGCCTGTGTATCCGCCCGCGTGTGTGCTGTGAGGTTGGGTGGGGGGAATGAAAGTGCTCATATGTCCTCCTTCTGTTAGAATACTACGGTTTACTCAAAAGAAAGTCTCTTACTCTCTTCTGCCTTTGTTTAGGCTGAAAGCGAAGAAACCAAGGAGCGTTTGTTTGAATCCATGCTCAGCGAGTGTCGGGACGCCATCCAGGCTGTTCGGGAAGAGCTCAAGCCAGATCAGGTAGGACCATCAGCTGAACCCCCAGCTCCTGCTACAGCTGATCCAGTTGGGGTCCTCCTCAGTCCTGTCCCGTTCTCAGGTGGGATCCCAGGGGTATGAGTGCGTTATTCTCTTAGCCAATGTTTTATTTTCTTTAGCGGGGGTGGTCAGCTGACCGCAGAGCCTCTGGACTCCATCAGGTTGAGAGATTTCTTTCTCCCTACCCTGTTTCTCCTAATGGTTTCACATATTGCCCGCTAAGCTTGTAGTCTCAAATTCTTATCTCTGGGTGGACTTCTCCAGTTCTCCCTTTTTCTGATAATATGAGGGGTCTTCAAAAAGTTGATGGAAAGATTCAAATTATCCTTTTTGGTGGGGGGAAGGGTACAGCTGGCCTGTATGGGGTTCTGAACCCTTGACCTTGGTGTTATCAGCACTGCACTGTCATCAAGAGAGCTAACTGGCTGGCCCTGCGAATTATTTTTTCTTTTTCTGGCCTGTATGCAAATCTGACCCTTGACCTTGGTGTTACGCTCTAACCCTCAAATTATTTTTTAATTCCATTTTTCCATGAACTTTTTGAAGTACCCTTGTATTATCACTGTAATCCAGTCAGACAACTAGGCTGAAACCCTCAGAACCATTTTGTATTTTTCTTCACTGGACCAAACACTTTATTCTCCCTTCGTGATGCCATGCGCCTAGTCTTGATTCCACCTGTTTCTAATCAGCCTTTTATCTTACGCCCAGACTACTATAAAGGTCTTCTAATTGCTTCTCCTCTCTTGGTCTCTATTCCCTTCACCAGGCCTTTCTTTCCAGAAACACAGACTGAGTCTTTCTAAATCCCATCTCACTGTCTGATTATAAGAAGCCCGGTGATTTCCTAGGTCTGGAGCAGTGATCTCCAAACTTTTATGATAATGTACCCCACAAGTAAAATTGAGAGCATGTACCTCTGATGTGTTTACTTATAAATTATATAACCGATGTGTAATGTATGAAATGTATTAAAATAAAGTTTTTAAAAGTGAGATAAATATAAAGAGAAGCTCTGATTTTCTTCTTATACTAACAGTCAATGAGTTTTGTGTACCCTGCTTTAGAGACCTTTGGTCTAGCAAATGCAGTGAAGACTCCTGAAGCTGGTGTACAAGCCTTCCCCAGGCTGTTTGCACCTCATCTCCAGCATTATACTTCGCTGAGTTTTCTTTTTCTTTCTTTTTTTTTTTTTTTTTTTTTTTAATAAAGATGACCAGTAAGGAGACCTTAACCCTTGACTTGGTGTTGTAAGCACCACGCTCTCCCAAGTGAGCTAACTGGCCATCTCTATATAGGGATCCGAACCTGTGGCCTCGGTGTTATCAGCACCGCACTCTCCCAAGTGAGCCACGGGCTGGCCCTTGAGTCCCTGAGTTTTCTGCCTGAAGCTCCTTAATATGCCCTTCCCACCTGAGTGCATCCTTAACCCTTGACTTGGTGTTGTAAGCACCACGCTCTCCCAAGTGAGCTAACTGGCCATCTCTATATAGGGATCCGAACCTGTGGCCTCGGTGTTATCAGCACCGCACTCTCCCAAGTGAGCCACGGGCTGGCCCTTGAGTCCCTGAGTTTTCTGCCTGAAGCTCCTTAATATGCCCTTCCCACCTGAGTGCATCAGTGACACTGTTCTCATTCCGCTTTCCCTTTTCACACCTGGATAATCTTTCCTCCCTTTTTCATCTCTCCAAACCTCACCTATTTTTCAAGGTCCATCTCATAGCTTACCATCTCTGATAGGCATGCCTACACCAGCCCGGTCCACAAGAAACTCTGTATTCTCTAAACGTCTGATATGTGCAGCTATCGTTTTTGTTCGATAGTTAATCAAGTATTGTCTCTTTTTAAAATGTACTTTTTTATTGTGGTGAAATACACATAACATAAAATTTAGCATCTTAACCATTTTTAAGTGTACATTTCAGTGGTTGTAAATATATTCATAATGTTATGCAGCTGTCACCACCGTCCATGTCCAGAATGCTTTTCATCTTGTAAAACTGAAATTCTGAGGGCCACCCGTGGCTCATTTGGGAGAGTGTGTTGCTGATAACACCAAGGCCATGGGTTCGAATCCCTATATAGGGATGGCCGGTTAGCTCACTTTCTTAGGGAATGTAGTTTTATGTGAATGTCAGATTGACTGCCAGATGACTCATATGCATAAAATATCAAGCAAGAATGGCCCTTAGATATTATCTATTCCAGGGCCAGCCCGTGGCTCACTTGGGAGAGCGTGGTGCTGACAACACCAAGGCCACGGGTTCGAATCCCCTTACCGGTCATCTTTTTTAAAAAAATTTTTTTTCCAAAAGTTTCCTAAGACCTACTGAAGTTTTCGGAGTGTCTTTTCAAGGTTAGGAAGTTAGATTAATTCCTGACTCTTTGTGGCTGTTAACTACAAACACATAACTTAATCTCCTGGAACCTCATCTTTCTCCTCAGGTTGTTGAAATAGATAATATCTTTCTTTTTTTTTTTTTTTTTTTAAAAAAAAGGCGCACTCGGGAGAGTGCAGCGCTGGGAGCGCAGCGACGCTCCCGCCGTGGGTTTGGATCCTATATAGGAATGGCCGGTGCGCTCACTGGCTCAGCGCGGTGTGGGCGACACCAAGCCAAGGGTTGCGATCCCCTTACTGGTCACGAAAGAGACAAAAAAAAAACATGACCGGTAAGGGGATCTTAACTCTTGACTTGGTGTTGTCAGCACTACACTCTCCCAAGTGAGCTAACTGGCCATCCTTGCATAGGGATCCAAACCCATGGCCTTGGTGTTATCAGCACCACACTCTCCCGAATGAGCCACGGGCCAGCCCTGAAACTTTGAAATTTTGAAGCCCCCTTACCCGTGGATTCATCATCCGCCTTCACATCTAGCTAGTATCAGGATCATGGACTTCAAGTTGGATCAGGAGGCCAGATTTGGGGTAAATTGATTGAATCAGGAATCAAGCAGCTTTTATATTTTAATATAATTGTAAAGCTGTATCTAAATTCCTATATCATTTTGTGTATAACAGTTATTTTGTTTTGAGAGTCTGATTTTTTCTGCAAAGCTTTTTAGGAAAATCCATCTGCTAACTTTCTCTCCCATTTCTCCGAAGCAGCCATTTAAAATTATTTTAACAAATTCTTTTGGTTTTTACCTTTTTATCTCTAAATGACATGTGTATGTTGCTACTTCTTGATTTGGGGTTTTAGTCGCTAACTTTCTCTCCCATTTCTCCGAAGCAGCCATTTAAAATTATTTTAACAAATTCTTTTGGTATTTACCTTTTTATCTCTAAATGACATGTGTATGTTGCTACTTCTTGATTTGGGGTTTTAGTCATTTTGTACGACTTTCCACTATAGCCCCATCTCACCTGCTGTGCTCCTTCTATACATCCTGACCTTTCTTGACCTCCCGACCAACTCTTACACAGTCTTTCTGATACCATCTAAGAGCTTGTTTATGTTCTTCAAATATCATTTTTTAAAATAGACTCATTCTAATTTCATATCTGCAAAGTCTTTCCTTATCTTTCTGGGATTAATAATATATTTTTTGAAGTTTTCTCCTGCAAAGTCTGGTCCCTCCAGGTTGCTCACTTTTCCCCCTTGGTTTTGGCCTCTTCTTTGTTAGATGTTTTCCTTCAGTGTCTGGTGATCCTTGGTCACCCAGTCCTGCTGAAGAATGTGGCCTGTTGTGTGGGAGCTCTGTGCATGTGTGTGGGCACACTATCCGTGGGTCTTACTGGAGGCATCTGGCTCTGTCTTCTGCCAAGCACCCCAAATCCAGAATCTCCAAGAGTTTTTTCTCTTGGGCTGGTCAGAAACCTGGAATACCACAGGCTGCTATTGTTCTTGAAGCTTAGTAGAGAAGAAGGCCAGGGGTCAGCACTCAGAACTTGACCATCCCTTGATCCTGTGTTCATTATGGAACCCCTGTTCTCAGCTATGCCTGTATCCCCTGGCCACAGGCCTCTTTTGAGTCCTCTCCAAGGGATGGCCTCCAGTCTTCTGTCAGAGTAGGATGGGGATCTAGAGGCCTGAATGCTTCTTAAACAGATTTTTAAACAGTTACCATGTTTTTATCCCCACATATTAAGGGGCTCACCTGATGGTACAGTTAAAATAAGCAGGTGTCATGCATAGTCTCCTCAATATATACACACTGTTAGTATGCATGAGCATCCAAAGAGACCGACTCACTGTTTTCTGAAAAGAGTTCATCACATGAGTCGGGTAGTTATAATGCGAGCACACTGACCTTATAATGTAGGTCTAACAAGGACTAATCTAGTTCCTTGTTCTAGAAACTGGCATGCCACCCTTGGACCCTGTGACAAAGTCTCATGCTGATCCCCTGCAAATTTGCCACTGAATAGCAGCCAAATTGAGGGCCCCTTGGGCTTGAGGCCCAGGCCAAATGGCCCTGCTGTCTGGCATGCCCTCACCCCGACACTTCCCCTTGGTTAGTCTCAACTCATAGTCCAGTACTCTTCCCAGACTGTCAGCCTCCCTGAGCGTAACTTGAGCTGACGTGGTACGTTCCAGCTACCTGACTCACATCAAGCTGTCGACGGCAATCAAGCGTAATGAGAGCATGGCTAAAGGTCTGCAGAAGGCTCTGCTGCAGCAACAGCCGGAAGATGACAGCAAGCGCTGCCCCCGGCCCCAGGACCTGATCCGGCTCTATGACATCATTCTGCAGGTGACTCCTGAGGGCTGGGAAGGCAAAGCCCTGGCCTTTACCTATGTTGGATATAAAGCAGCTTAACTTTGCATAACGAAAGGGCTGTGACATCCAGGAGCTATTAGTAGCTCGGTAAAAGTCAAAGGTTTTGTACTGGTTCAGCAGTCTGTGAACCCTGATATTTCAGGCACATTGATAATGTAGAGACTAGTAAACCTACAGGTATTCACTGAGCACTTCACCTGTATAAGATACTCTCCAAGGTGCTGTGGAGCATTTTGAGACCTGAGTTCCACCCTGCTTGGCCCACTGGGAGCTTGTCAGTATGATTGTGAGGCACGTACACAAAAACAAGGCATCTGTGTAGATCCTGACCAAGGGTTGCTCTGAAATGAAAATTCAGAGCTGGAAGCTGTCCCTTCCAGCTGAGATGCTCCGAGAAGTCTCCGAAGGTAGGTGAGATGTGAGTTGAGCAATAGGCTTTCAGTATCAGAGAGGGGAATGAAGGTGACACCAGGTGTGGCTGCTACCAAGTCACACTTCAAAGACTTTTCTCACAAGGTCTTCTGTCAAAAACTCAATCTGAGGCCTTCTCTTGATGAGTTTTCTTGTTGCATATCTTGTGCAGAATCTGGTGGAACTGCTCCAGCTTCCTGGCTTAGAGGAGGACAAAGCCTTCCACAAAGAGATAGGCCTCAAGACCCTGGTGTACAAGGCTTACAGGTAACATCCCGTGGGACAGACAGGGCATTCTTCTGCCTCCCAGTGCCTCTGTAAGCATTGGGAGAACGTCCCGTCTGTTGGAAAATGGAGTCGTTGGCACTTAACCGTATGGTTACCTTGCCTGTGACCAGAGAATATTCAGCCCAGGACGTTCAAGGGAAATCTCTACTAAAGGTTGCAGCTAGTAGTTTCCAGCATGCCTTGTTTGCTCTTTGGATAGGTCAGGGGGAGTTGGGGCACACACACATTAAACTTGCCTTCCGCCTCATGTTCTTGCCAGATGGCAGCTCCAGGTTCTTGGTCAAACTGTGAAGGAGAACCTTTCACGGGACTGAATGAAGTCCGCAACACAGTGAGCACCCGCTCAGTGAAAGAAAAGGAAGGGGACAGACAGACGGAACATTCAAACGATAGGACTTTATTGTAAAGCAAATGTATGCACAGAAGCGGGCGCAGGCGGGGGAGGGTTTATATGTTGTTCCGGGACAGGAGTGTTTCTCTGTCCTAACTAAGAGGAGGAATATTCAGCTGCAGGGGAGGATCTAGGGTAATCAAGGCCTAACAGGCTGATGCGAAGTTGTATCAGCTTCCAGTCATGCGTCCCTGAGTTTCTGAAGTTTTTGGTCATGCGCAGTGGAGTCATTTTTCCCTTTACTTTGTCCTTTCTGGTCTAGTGTCAGGGTGGAAAGTCATGTAGCAGTTGTCTGCACTTGTGTTCCTCTTAGTGAACAGATGCTGCGAGTTTTGTAAACTGCAAAGTTCCAGGTGTAGCATGCTCATTGGTAGGATGGTTAAGTTGTCCTCAGCTCATTATGGGTTCATTAACTGCAAATCAAGGAGTAGGCTAGTGATCCAGTGTGAATATTTATGAGCAGCCTCCCTAGGGCGTGTCCCTATTCTGTCCTATCTCACTACCTCCTCCCTCCCAATGGAAAAGGGACAAGTCCTGAAAAGGGTGTTAATTAGCAGAACCAGAATAACCATTTCAGGGAACCTGAGCTGAATTGAGATAAAGCTGAAATTCTCAGTTTCTTGAATGAATCGTGTTATTTGTAACTTGGAAGCGGGCTGGGCTGCAAGATGGGCTCTAGACAGAATGACAGAGTACAGCTTGTGCATTCTTGCCCTTCCTCTGCCAGCCCTCACAACTCCAGTGCTCCCTGGTCCTCCAGGACACCCCATCTTCACTCATGTGGCCCCTTCTGTCCTGTCAAGGGGCAGCAGCACGCAGGTTCTGTTGAGCCCAGTAGGGGAATTTTGCCTAGAGAGAAGCTTGTTTGGGTTCGGTTTTTGAAAAAGAGATGAACCGAGAGGAATGATTATGACTTGGACATGTAAACTATTAGTAGTGGGTGGGATTAACATTTGCCGGACAGCAGTCCTCCTCCTCGCCTGTCGGTTCGGTTTTTGAAAAAGAGATGAACCGAGAGGAATGATTATGACTTGGACATATAAACTATTAGTAGTGGGTGGGATTAACATTTGCCGGACAGCAGTCCTCCTCCTCGCCTGTCCCTGGCTTCCACCATGCTGCTTTTGGGAACTGCCCTTCTTTGAAGAGTCAGCCAGTAAAGACAGGGTTGGACCTACATGGTCATCTCTGATTGCTGGGAAGAGTCTGCCGGGGAGCCTGGCAAACCTGGACATTTACGGTATAGGGAGTCTCCCATGCAGTGATCCTTAGTTAAGAAACCTGTTTCCGGGCCAGCCTATGGCTCACTCGGGAGAGTGTGGTGCTGATAACACCAAGGCCACGGGTTCGGATCCCATATAGGGATGGCCGGTTAGCTCACTTGGGAAAGCGTGGTGCTGACAACACCAAGTCAAGGGTTTTAAGATCCCCTTACCGGTCATCTTTTAAAAAACAAAAAAAAAAAGAAAGAAACTTGTTTCCAAATTTATGGTTTAGCCTAACCTGCAGGGAAAGTCGTGGTCTTGGGTAAGTGTTGCTTTAGAATACTGTGGCTCTTTTCCCCTCCCCATCAGGTGTTTTTTCATTGCTCAGTCCTACGTGTTGGTGAAGAAGTGGAGCGAAGCCCTTGTCCTGTATGACAGAGTCCTGAAATATGCAAACGAAGTGACTTCTGATGCAGGTGCCTTCAAGAACAGCCTAAAGGTGAGATATTGGCCTCTCCTCCAAACCCTGGGAAGTTATATAGTGAGCCTGTGTAGGGCTGTGAGGCTAAGACAGCTTGACTCCTTCTTGGGCTGGTCCTCCCTGGTCACCCATAGGACCTGCTGTGTCCCTGGCTGCCCGAGTGCCGCAGGCTGTGTAACTCATGTCTGTGTCCCAGGCCTGAGCAGGATTTAGATATGAAGAAGGAAAGCCATTTCTCTGGTTAAAAAAAAAAGCCCTGGAGTACTGATCTCAGACTTGGCTATGCACTGGAATTGCCTGGGAAGATTTAAAAGACAGATGTCTGCATCTCACCTCGCCCCCCCCTCCCGAGATTCTGGTTCTAATTGGTGTGGGGTCTGGAATGGGCATTGAGTTTTTTAAAAGACCCTCATGACTTCAGGTGCAGAAAAATTGAGAACCAGTGGTGAAGCCTCCCCGCACAGAGTGTGTCCAAGACCAGCAGCATCGGAGCTGTAGAAATGCAGTCCTCAAGAGAACGTGCATTTTAACAGGACCTCCAGGCGTTTTGAGCACCCTTCCTCCTCCTTGGCTTGCTTTATTTTCCTGATTGTTGAATGACAACTAGCTCCTTAAGCTTGTGGACTGCTGCAGTGTTGCAGAGCTTACTAAAACATTGGCTGGTTCAAGGAACCCTTGTATATTTTACAAGTAGAGACTGTTTAGAAAAGCAAACTAAGGTTACTGTTATTAATGTAGTCACAAGCCAGTGTGTGAGGGCTGCTGCTAGGGGCTCTTGCTGTTTGCCCGGAGGAACACTAGGCCCCCGAGGGATGAGGAATGAACCTGGTTTCTGCCTTCAAAGAGCTGGTGGTTTTGTTGCAGGATTTGCATGCAGGAGCCCATCTGTGCATACAAAAGAAGTAAGAGAGGCCTCAAGCAAGGCAGAGAGGAGAAGAGAATGGGGTGGGGCTGGGGAGCAGGGGTGGCAGCATTGCCACAGTGGGACGTCATATCGGGTAAACCAATGTGAATTGTTCAACTCAGGAAAAAAAGGTGTTTTACAAATACTCATCTGACCATAGGGCCTAATGGTCTTGGGGGAAAGTGTCAGAGATGGAGACAGGAAGGCGTCTGGTATGCAGACCCTATCAGGTCGTTCCCATTATGCAGGAAGAGACTGAGGCCAAGAGAATTGCCTCACCCATGTAGAAGCGGTGGGATGCAGTGGTTGAGGGCCTAGGCCCTTGGGCCAGACGACCTGGTCTGAATCCCAGCTCTGCTACCACTGGGAGTGTGACTGGCACATCGTTTAACCTCTCCATGCTTCGGTGTTCTCGTCTGTAAAATGGGAGTACAGACTACCTCAGGATTATCCTGAAGGTTAAATTAGCAGTTATGTAGACTTCCTAGAACAATACCTGACACATAATATGTTTAGTGTATGATAAATTTATTTATGAATATTATCATTATCATCATTACTGTTTCTAGGCATTATCATTTAAGTCATAGCATGGCTTTTCCCATTTGCAACAGGCTAGTTTTTTTGTTTGTTTTTAATAGAGATAACCTTTAAAAAGGTTAAAATCCTGTGAAAATACCAGTGGGATCACTTAACTCAGGTTGGTTTGGTGTGCTTCTCTGGCCTGGCCCCTGCGCGTGAGTGCACGTTTTCTAAATCATTACAGGACCTGCCTGATGTGCAAGAGCTCATCGCGCAAGTGCGCTCAGAGAAATGCTCCCTGCAGGCCGCGGCCATCCTAGGTGAGCTCCCTGCCTGGTGTTTGCTCCCTGTATGCCCAGATTTCTCTTCCCTGCCATACCTCTTCTCTCCCACACCCTATACTACTATTTTAAGACTGAAAGCAGTTGTTTTGCTTAATCTATTATAAGATTTTTATTTTGTCCTGCTTTTACTTCTGCCACATTAGGCATCGAATTCTGTAGAAGGGTTTAGAGAAACACCATTGTTCTGTCTTCTGTATTATCTTCAGTACGACTGTGCTAGCTTCCCTGGGCTGACAGCATTGGATCTGGGCTTTCTTGTCTCTCTACACCACTTCTCAGCAGAATTTGGACCCAGGAGCGAGAGGGCTAACTTCCCCACATGCTGGCTACCTTTGCTCTAGGGGTGTAGAAGTCAAGTATGTGATAGGCCTCAATTGTGACTGTAGTGTTCTAAGTGTCTCTTCTCACTGAATCTCTGTGAAACTTTCAGATGCTAATGACTCCCATCAAACAGAGACTTCCTTCCAGGTCAAGGACAATAAGGTAAGTCTGTGTGGCTTTTGAGGAATAAAGAGTAGGATTAGTAACTCAATAGAAATGTATAACCGTTTGTAGAGTGGAGAACTCTTAATTTCTAAGGAAACCTCCTACTTCCCTTCTTTTACTTAAAGAGCTGAAAGCTGCCTGTATAAAGTTTGTTAGGTGTCTAGGTCGTCCCAGGTCCAAGGGTTGAGAACGACTTGTTGTGCCGAGTAGCACCCTGGGTGAGAACTCTTGGCCGGCCCGTGGCTCATTCGGGACTCGGGAAAGTGCGGTGCTGATAACACCAAGGCCACAGGTTCGGATCCTATATAGGGATGGCTGGTTGGCTCACTGGCTGAGTGTGGTGCTGACAACACCAAGCCCAAGGGTTGAGATCCCCTTACCGGTCATCTTTTTTAAAAAGAAAGAAAGAAAGAAAGAACTCTATGTCAGACGGCCAACAGACCCGCCCTCTCTTAACTTCTCTAGGTTTCAGTGACTCTGACCTATAAGACAGGGACATGACAGCAGCTCCTTGCAGGACATGGTGGGGATTGAATGAGATAGCAAATGGAAGGCACCAAGCTGGGCACTTGGCGCGTAGCGAAGGCTCCCCTGAGGGTCTCCTGTGATTAATGCTTGGATTCCTCCTTTTGATTTGACTTCCAGCCTCTGGTTGAACGGTTTGAAACATTCTGCCTGGACCCTTCCCTCGTCACCAAGCAAGCCAACCTCGTGCACTTCCCACCAGGATTCCAGCCCATCCCTTGCAAGCCTTTGTTCTTTGACCTGGCCCTCAACCATGTGGCTTTCCCACCCCTTGAGGACAAGTTGGAGCAGAAAACCAAGAGTGGCCTCACCGGATACATCAAGGGGATCTTTGGATTCAGGAGCTAACCAGGCTCTTCCTCAGGGGCAGGGGGAGATTCTGACTCTTAATCTGTATTGTGAGAAAATCCCAGCAAGTTCCATGATATTAAACCCAGGTCTACATTGGCCCAGGGTAGGAGCTTAACATCTTCAGCCCTGCGTTCCTACGTCTTGTGTATTTGTGCCCTCACATTCTTAACCAGTGTGTTAGAAGGCCCCATCATCCTCTGGTAGACATGTGCAGGGTCACTCTGTCTCCTGTACCTCCTTCGGGAGGGGCCGCTTCTGCCTGGTCCCCTGTGAGCCATGACTGATTACCTTTTGTCAGTAATGTGCGCAGGGAGTCCACAGCAGGCACAGATGGGGCCTTGGAGCATTTTGTCCTGTTTCTTCAGTACCACAGATTTGCAATGAACTCATCCTTGCTGTGAGCATCCAGAATCTCTTGAAGATTTTGTCCACGACTATGAAACACTGGCAATGTCACCCCAGAATTATGGTCAGCCTTACTGCCCTTCACCTCCAAGTGAACTTTAAGAAGTTTCAGAACAAGCAGAGAGCTCTATTTTTAAAAGAAATATGTCACATTCAGAAATGATGAAACCAAATCTTGTATTAAAAGGCAAAGATGATGGAGACTGTGCCCATTTTTTACATGCTCTCCGTCACATCCATCTCAGTTCTCTCCTCGGGGACCTGGTGGTATGACCCTGTGAGGTCAAGTGTATCCTGTCTTCCTGGCAAGTGGGTATGGTTGATGCCAAATATGGATGTGTTCGAGTTTTTAAAACGAGTTCCCAGTCTGTAATTCTTAGATGCCATTACATTTTGATCGTGTCCTTCCTTACCCTTTTATTTTTTTTCCCTAGTTATCCTTTTTTATTTCTATAATATCATCAGTAATAGAAGTCACAAACCAATGTAAAGAAAGCAAGGAATAAAAGTGATTTAAACGTGAAATATACATGACACCTCTGAGTCCCTTTGGAAGTCAAAACTCACTTGTCCCATAGGAAGGAAAATCCACGAAGAAACCTTGGCATAGATGTATTCAGACATCGAGCAGACTCGACAGCTTGAAGAGAAGGCTGACTGGCTGAAGGTCTGGGAGTTATTTCAGAATGGATTCCCGGCAGCTTGCAGGAAGGGATGGCCAGGAGCTAGAAAAGGATGGTGGGAAGACAAATTGGACTTGCTAGGATTGTATGCTGTCAAGGAATCAAGATGCTTGGAGACTGGATCTCTCTTCCCCTGGGATTTGCTTTGGGTCAGAGAGCCTCAGGAAGCTCATTTCTTTTTGTTTATTGAAAGTTTCATCACTTATGCCATGTAGTTTAGGAGTATCCTTCCCACTCCCTTTGAAGGTATAGCACAGATACTGATCTCAGGTTGAGGTCCTGGGTTTTGGTCCTGGAGGCTCAGGTCAGTGTCACTGATGGGCTGAAGGAACGCTGGGGGGCTTCATTCTTACCCTTACCCTCTTCCCCCGTCCCTAGTGCATTTGGCAGCCCCAGGGCTGTAGGCCTGTGTTCTCCATCTCCTCGGCTTGTGCTGACAGCCGGGCCGTCTTCCAGCTTCAAGAACCCAACTCAAGACCCCACCAGGCAGGTAGTCTGCAGCCTGCTTTGCCCCAGTGTCCCTCACAATGTGAGGGTGCGGGGCTGGAGAAGTTTGTAAGGGTTCTGGCTGTTTGTCCTCATCTTCCTCAAGATGTCCCTTTGTCTTGCTCATTGACTGCAGCAAATCATTCTGATTGCACCTTTTTAAGATTGCTTAATGCTTTGTCTGTCTCTCTCATGGCCACACTAGAAATTTCATTCCTCCCCGTGACCTGCCAGGCACTTTGAGTAGTATTGGCTGTTGTCAGCCATGAGGCTATGACAAGATGATTTAGACCACTATGTTTAGTGTTAAAATCACATATTTACATAACAAGACAAACCTGGCGGGGCTGCAGTCTCTGAGCTCACACATCCCTTCACACAGGATCCTGGACATTAAGCAGGCTTGTCCCAGGGACAGAACACCAGAAACGGGACCCCATCCTGTCCTCAGACCCAGGAAGTGGCTTTGCCTCTTATGGGAATAGAGTCCGTGTGAGGCCCCGCTGGCCCTGGGGCTAGCACACTGTTTGCTGGATAGTTGCACAGGAGGACACTTCAGAGGCCACATGGTCCTGCCTTCCCACAGAACAGGGACCCAAGTGGGAGCTCACGGTGCCCTGAGTGGGTGTGCACTGTTTTAAATGGATCTTTTCCGGTTGTGTGGGCTCACATCCCCCTTCCAGGATGGACTCTGGAATTGCCAGCAGGTCTGACTCTGGAAGTCTTCCATCTCCCAATATCGAGAAGCTCCACTCAGTCTCTCTGTGTTTCAGACCTGCCTGAGATCTGCCATGTGAATGGTTTTCATTTTCCTACCTGTGATGGTCTCAAGCTGAACAACCACTCGAGGCCAGCCCTGTGGGTTTTGTCGGGAAACACATTAGAGGGAGTGTGAGGTGGCCAAGGTGCTGGCATGTCGCTGCTCAGTCTCCGGGCTTTACTCTTTTCCATATATTTCCATGTACTGTCTCTTCTCTGGTTTTGCATTAAGTCAAGTGAGAATTCTTGGATTCCCAGTTTCAGATGAAACTCTTCTGGGCTTGGCTCCTGTCTCCTTCCCCTGGTGACAACCTGAGCTTTTCACCATGGCCGTGAGGTGATGGCCCACAGAAGTGCACCCCTGAACCCACAATGGCCCTGGACCAAAGCAGGTCTTTCCTCCCAAATGCTGAGGTGATGGCTTCACCCCCTTTAGGAGAGGAAGGCTGACGCCTTCTGTTCACTGTCATCACTGTGGCAATGCTAATTTTTCACACACAAGGTATCATTAATTACACAAAAAAGCTAATTGATCACAGAATTCTAAACAGCACGTTGCTGTCTACAGCCTTGAAAGGCTTGGAACACTCAGAGGGCTAGGAAAATATCCAAAGATAGCAAAAATATGTGTTGGTTCTAATTTTTCTTTTGAAGACACTTATTGCTACAGAGGAGATGGAAACCAGATTTAGCTGTAAGATTTATCGATGTTCCAAGACAGAATAAATTGGAAACTGTCCGCATCCTGACAACACCAGCTGGAATAATCTAACCTGTTGGTCTGTTAGATGTTAGAGGCCCTTGTGCAGGTGGGTGCCGGAGGTAGAGCCTGGAAGGGGCCATGGCTAGGGGCACTTCCCAGGGATGGACCAGAAGTCTGGCTGTGGGATCCATGCGTGGAAACAGTCCCAGGCCTCAGTGGGTCTGCTCTCTGTTCTAAGCATCACCTGGAACAGTAAGGGCTCTGCAAGTGTCAGCGAGAGGTATTATTTGGTACGAGTTAGAGAAAATATCATCTCAAATGACGGATAATGATGGAATACTCATGGGGACCGTTGTCAGACCTTTTCAAGTAGTTAGGGGCTGTGATCTAAGCCCTGGTGTTTTGGGCTTTTACTTTGCGGACAGGGTTCTCACATCCGCCTTAACAGCCCTGGAACAACCCCATCGGAGACCAGCCGTCTGTGGAGCAGCTCCACGCCAGAGCAGAGACCTGCTGCGAACTTCAAGGCAATCGGACTGCTCTTCTCCTTCAGCCATCTCTTTGCCATGGTGATTTCAATTGTGTGGGAATTGTGTTGAAAGGAGCCTTCTTTCTCTGTGGTCCCTGTTTTCAGCAAATGGTTTTGTTCACCTCCATTAACTGCAGCTACATTCTGCTCAGTCTGTGGTTGAACAAATCCTCCCCACTTCGAAAAGAATCACATCCTTTCTATCAGGCTGAACTTTTCCCAGGGGTCTTCTAGCAAGAAGCAGGTACAACAACAGGCAGGTACCCAGGTCTGTGAAACTGGTTTACCGGTGGAATAGAGGGGGTATGGCTGGGCGAAGGTCCGGCCACCCAAGGCCTTCCATGCTGCCCAAAAAGCCACATAGTGGGGACAGCAGGTGTCCAGGGTCCATCAAGCATATGGATCCCTGCCCCAGTGCTTATTGCTATATGGCCCTGCACAACCTGCTTAGCTTCTGAGCAGATGCCATCACCTGTAAAATAGGGGCATCTGTTTCTCAAATTTACTAGGAGGAAGGTGTAGAGACACATTCTCACCGCAGCCTTGCAGTGAGCTGCTGCCCAGGATGGTGAGTGTGGGCTGCCAACGTAGCTTAGGAGGGAGAGACCCTTCCGCTCAGAGCCAGCCTTTGCCCTTCTCTGTCCCTTTCCCTAAGCTGAGTCCTGCTGAGATGACAATGCCACCAGGGCAGCAGGGTGACTCTAACGAGCTTCCCTGCTGTGCTCGGCAGCTTCCTCTCCTCTTTCCAATTGCCCGGCAACAAAGATTAGGCAGGCCTGCCCCTCCGCTGCGAGGACTGTTATTAGTTTGCTCTTTCCTTTTTGTGTTTGTGTATTTGTTTTATAAACCTTTTTCTTCCTCAGGCCAGTGAATGGGGACTGCGCTTCAGTACAGCCAGTAGAACTTTCTCCAGCTGCCGGGCTGGGCTGTTTACCTTGTCATGGACACAGTTATTAGTCACCTTCGTCAAACCTGAACTTCTCCACAATAGGGCTACAGGTTCCTAGACCCAGTAATTAAGAGCAGTCATTGTCTTAAAGGTGGCAGAGAGGCCCAGAGCCCATGGGCAACTTGGAGAAACCTGGAGGCCCAGCAGGTCCTGAGCAAGACTGGGCGGGCTGCCAGCTTCTGGATGTAGGGGTTGCTGTGCAGTGGGTGGTGGCTGGGCTGCCCAGACACCAGTGCCACAAGTGAACTGGGGCTGGCCGCTGTGGCCCAAGGCTAGGGAAGAGGGATCGTTCCTAGGGAGGGATCGACACCCCAAGGCAGCCTTGGACTTGAAGACTCCTGGGGTCCCCGCTGTGTTCTGTCTCTTGCCATGTGGTATGGGGAATCTTACTTGTTGACATAGGGTTTGGTTGTTTTTTGGGGGGTCTTTTTAGTTGTTTCCTCTAGACCCTACCTGTAAAAGGCCTAAAAGTTGGAATAACCATTTCTGTCCCTCCCTGCTCTGCTCTAGCTAGGCGGGCCATGTCACCTTTTGCTTCTCTCCAGGCAGACCTTCAACATTTCTTTTTGCCAAGCTTGTTGAGCAGATTTGCAGTCAGAAGAGCCTCTTCCAGAAGGCCCTGCTGACTCCCGGGGCTGTGGCCTCTGCACTCCCCCCGACCCTGCGCCTGTGGGCGATGGAAGGAAGCTCGTGCCTTGAACTCCCGTCCTGTGTCCTCTCTAGGTCCAGCTGGTGGAGGCGCCTCCACTCCTCAGCGGGCCAGGAAAGCGTGAGGAAAGCAGTTTATCATTCAGCTTCAGTCCACCAGTTCAGGATCTGGTGACAGAGCTTTTGTACAAACACAGAGCAATTTCCAGAGGCGGTGAAGCCTGTCCTCATCAGGTAGCATATGGGAGCCTGGCAGAGTATGACTCCCAGGACAGAGGAGGCAGTTGCCACCATCTGCTTCAGCAGGGAGAAGATTGCCCTCCTGCAGGAGTGCCCTGAGTGGGAGGAGAGTGGACACCCTGTGGTCCAGCTGCAGTGTGCCCGGCTATGCCCAGCAGCCTTGGGCCTGGCTGTGCGGGCTTCCAGTGCCGGCTCAGGCCTCAGGCCCCTGGAGCTGGGAGCTGCCACATCAGCCTGGAGCTCTAGGTGGGGCGATGGGAGGAACCTGCCACTGGAAGTCACAGTGGCACAGGGCTGGGGGGAGCCATGGGGACCGTTTGATCTCACACCTCTCAATCCACAGAGCAGGAGACCAGAACCGGGAGAGGGGCAGGACAAGAAGCCAGGTCCTTCAAAGGGGGAAGGCGTGGCAGGGGCCGAGGCCTGGGAAGGTTGAAAGTTGGGGCGCCCTGTCCAGCTCCAGGTCAGAGCTGTCCAATAGAGTTCTAATGTGAGCCACACAGCAATTCCCATCTGAAACTTTAAATCTTTCAGTAGCCACATTCAAAAAAGTAAAAAGCAACAGGTGAAATTAAAAACTACATTTAACTCAATAGATCCAAAATATCATTCAACATGTAATCAATATAAAAAATTAATAATGAGGTATTTTACACCTTTTTTCCATAGGAAGTTTTGAAATCAGTGTGAATTTTACACAGAGCACGTCCGTTTGGACCAGGCACCTTCAAATGCTCAACTGCCATTCACAGCCGAGCATTGAGGGTCCCCATGGTGGGGGTCAGTCCCACCCTGGCCTTCTGAATGAAACACTCTCTTCTCTCTCCAAAGGGTCAGAGGCCAGAGGTGAAGCACGAAGATGGCCACGTCTCTTTCTGTGTCCCTGTCCTTTCTCCTGCATTTTATTCTTGGGGGCCAATGTTGCTGCCATCTGAGCAGGAGCGTCCTGCAGTGATAAATTGCCTCAGAGCCCGGGGTGTTCTTGCCCACTGCCCAGCAGCCCTTATCTGGGGAGCTGGGTCTGATTTGATCTGGCATTAGACGGTCACACCAGGAAGTCAGCTCTGGTTTTTCTTGCAGTGAATCAATTAACCCTTAATCTCTGTGACGTGTGAGGGCCCCTAGAGTGCTCGTCTATTTCTAGGAGGGCTCCTGCAGAGACAGGCAAAGCCCTCATGTTCCAGACCTCTGCCCAGAGCCCCAACCCTCTCCCCTAGCTGCTCCCAGGACTGGAGTCTGGACATCTTTCCCCCTGGCCTGACCACCACCTTCCCGGAGGGCCCAGTCTCAAAAGCGACGGCAGCTGTGCTGACTCCTGGGATTGAGAAGAGGGGCTGGTGGTGAGGGCTGACCCTGGGCCCTGCAGTCATTTAAACAAATGGCCCCTTTCTACGAGCAGCTGACTGCAGGCAGGGAGTGGAGAGTGGGGCTGGAGACGGAGACGGGATGGCCTCTCATCTCTGGCGCCATCTCACTAATCACTCAGCAGGGAGCAGAGGATCATATTGTTTCCTTGTTGCTATTTGTTCTGTCAGGGCCTCCTGCTGCCCTGCCCACCCCCACTGCCCTTTCTACGAGCAGCTGACTGCAGGCAGGGAGTGGAGAGTGGGGCTGGAGACGGAGACGGGATGGCCTCTCATCTTTGGCGCCATCTCACTAATCACTCAGCAGGGAGCAGAGGATCATTTTGTTTCCTTGTTGCTATTTGTTCTGTCAGGGCCTCCTGCTGCCCTGCCCACCCCCACTGCCACTGTCCCCTCTCCTGGGCCAAGTCCAGTGGACTCAGGCCTTTGTGCCGTACTGGGAAATGTGGCCAGTCTCAGGCCTCTGTCCCTGGTTTCCCCAATCTGCTGGGACCTTCCTCTGCCAGTGGGATGTATTCTGTCCTCAGTGAGGCTTCCAGAACATCCCAGCCATCTGTGTCCCTCCACCTTCTCCTCCTCAATCCCTCCTCCTGCCACAACTGCGTGGTTTTCAGTGATGAGTTCAGGGAACGATTCCACATCTACAGAAGGGGCTTCTTGAGCAGGGCCAGTGAAATGAGGGCCTGGAACAGTGGGGGGCATCCACCCTCTTCTTGCAGACCCCAAGGGGGCAGCATCCCTGGCCTTCAACGTGAGGAAAAGGCCAATAAACTGGCATCATGGTCAGCCACTCAATCTGACTTTGTAAAAGCCACCCGGGGCCATTTCCAGGGAGGGGAGCATAGAGGTGCAGAGCCGGTGGGAAAACCCCAGTGCAGTGGATTCCAAGTGGGCTCAGCCAGAGCCTGGCTCAGCGGCGCCTGAGGCCAATGCTGGTGGCTCCCAGGGAGAGCGGCCAGTGGGCGGCCAGGCCACTCTGGAGCTAGCCTAGAATCTTCAGAGGGTTCAGCGACGCGCATCCTAACACATCCAGCTCTGGAGCCATGGACGGATGGGATGACCCTGAGCCAGCCAGGGAGATGGGGCAGTGGAACTGCTGGGTCATGTCCTGGGGAACCGGCTCGGTGGTACCCACTTTTTGAAATGTACCTTGTGCCAGCTGTCTGAGACGAATGCTCCCTCGCTGCCCCATCACATCAGTGGAGAATAGTGAGCGGAGCCCTGGAGCCCTGGGCTGGCCCCCCTCTCCTGGCAGGGAATGGGCCCCAGGTGGGGACCTGCCTGGTAGCGGGGCCTCTTGGAGTGGAGCGGGCTGGAGATGCTCATTAACCCAGCGCTACTGGGCTGGGGCCTCCCTGGCTGAGCCGGTGTGTCCCTGAGCCTGCGCCTGCATGTGTGCAGCTGTCTGCCTCCAGCCCGGCCCTCCTGGCCCTGGCTGTTTCTCTGTCTGGGTGTGATCGCTGCTGCACTCCCTCTGGGCATGTGGGTGTAACAAGTCCAAACGTTCTGTGGGAGTCAGGCAGGCTCGGCGCCCCGCCTCTGGGCCGTGCCCTTTCCTTCCAGACTGGTTGTGCAGGCGCGGTGAGCGAGGTGCATGCGCCGCTGCAGCTCGCACCTCACCTGCAGGGAGGGGCCTCCCAGAAACTGCCTTCCTGGTGCCCAGTTGCCCCACCTCGCCAGAGCCCAACCGACCAGCCAGCGAAGACGCACGCCCGCTGCCCACCTGCCTTCCTCCTCCAGCTGAGCCCAGTCTGAGCTGGCACCTGCCTTACGACCATGTTCAAGGGGCTGAGCAAAGGCTCCCAGGGGAAGGGGTCCCCCAAGGGGTCCCCAGCCAAGGGCTCTCCAAAGGGCTCCCCCAGCAAGCACAGCCGGTGAGCAGGGTCAGGGTATGGGGAGCCTGGGAGGTGGGATGAGGGTGGTGTGGGGCCCAGATGTTGCAGCCCCCTGGTGGTGGCAGCGTGGAGCCCAGGGCCAGCCCAGTGTTGGCATTTAGTGTCCCAAGGCCAAGGGGCCCCAGGGTGGACTCTCCCTGCCTCAGGAGTTCCAGGCTGAGCTCCAGCCCTGGCAGGAAGCAGGGGATGGCTTGGGGTTCCCCACATTCTCTAGGGGGGTCCTGGGGGCCTGAGGGCCATGGGTTGAGGCCTCTGTGCAAGTGAGGTGCTAGAAAGGGGCCTGAACAGCTTCCTGCCTGTGCCGGGAGTCTGGGAGACAGGAGAGCCTGGCTCCCAATCCATGGCTCTGTCCCCAAGCTCCACTTGGCTGGGATAATCCTTGGGCACAGTGGGGGGACCTGGGTGCAGGGAGGCAGGGGCTGTGGTGCCCTCTGCCTCAGCCATAGTTTTCCCTAGTGTCCCCACCGCAGCCTTGGTAGTTTTGTTCAGGAGTTGGGGAGTTCCTTTTCTTGTGGGTGTGTGGAAGGGGTGCTGTGCCTGCTTTGGGCCACCCAGCTCTCTGCAGACAGACTTGGCTGCCTTCTTCCTGCTTGATGGCTTCAGCCTCCTCTGCAGGTGGAGATGGCAGCCCGTCTTGGTCCCAGGTGTCGAGATAAGAGCAGAGATGAAAGGCTGGTGTGGGGGTGGGGGTGGGGGTGCCCATTACCCTGATAGGGATCAGGCACCAACGCCAGGGCTGGGCGTCTGGGCGGATGGAGAAGACAGCGGTTAAGACTCTCGCTGGAGTGACCTGTCCTCCCTAGGGCACCTCAGCCCAGCCCAGGGTGGAGTGTGCAGCTCCTGGTGGGGCAGCCCTCCTGGGAGGCCCCACCTGAGGACGGGCCGCCTGGGGCTCAGGGCCCACAGCTCCCCATCTCCAGGCAGGCTCCTGGGCAGTGTGTTCCCAGCTTGGGCAGCTCGGTCCACAGGGTCCTGTTGGGTCTGGCTGCAACCTCCAAAAGAGGGCTCCTCATTCCCCTCATGTGCAACCCACTCATTCAGCACATACTTACTGAGCACCTACTGTGTGCCAGGATTGTTATAGGCACTGGGGATTCCACCATAAACAGAACCCACAGTCCCTGCCTTCAAGGCACTTACACTCTAATGGAATAAAAACTAACACGTACGGGGTCCTGCTCTGCACCAGGCTCTGCACTGGACACTTCACATGGATTAATTCTTCTAATACTCACAGTAACCCTGCGAAGTAGATATTATTATTAAAACCCACTTTATAAGGGAGGAACCTCGGGCACAGAGAGGTTGAGTAACTTGCCCAAGGTCACGCAGCAGTAATGATGGAGAAGGATCAAACCCAGTCTGTCTTGGCCACAGACTTTTTTCAGACTTCTGTGTCTTCACTGGCACTGCCCCTCTGCCTGGGGGGCTCGTCCTTTGACCTCTGGTTCCAGCCCAGTGAAGGCTTCCCCAGGACTGTGACTTCTGCAGGGCACGGTGCTCATGAGGCTTGGACCATCTGCCTTTGTTTAGGTTTGCTTGACTCTCTAACCCACAGAGAGGGAGTGTAAGCATACAGTAGGTGCTCAGTAGAGGCTGCTGAATGAATGCACACGGCAGGTGCTCTACAGAGGCTGCTGAATGAATACATGGAAACAGGCAGCAGGCTCACCCTCTGTTCCTGACTGAGTGACCCAGAGCAAGTTAGGTCCCAATCTGGGCTATGAACCCCTGAACTGGAGAATGTTGGGGTGCCCCAGCAACCCAACAACCCAGCAACCCTTGGCCTCCCCCTGCCCCCACACCGTGGCTCTTCTAGATGGCAGCTGTCCCCCTGACTGGGGGAGGGATGGGGGGGCAACAAGCCGGGATGGGGGAAACTGGAGTGGAGGACATGCTGCTGCTCCCCGGCCCCAGCCAGCCCAGTGGCCCTTCCCCAGGGACCAGCCAGGCTGCCTCAGGTATTAGCAGCTGAGTCGGTGATTCACATACTTCTGGGCCACCTGCCCACCAACCGAGGAAGCGGGCAGGCAGCTGGGAGGACAGTTGGCTGAGGCTGCGGTGCCCAGGGCTCACCTGCTCCCCAAAGCCACACACAGCTGGGACCCTCACTTTTGGAACCCTCATGTGGGGACAGTGCTCTCCCCGCACCTCCAGGACTGAATATGTCACAGTCTCCAGCAGGAGAGTCCCTTCAGGCCATGGGCTCCCCCTCACTTTTGGAACCCTCATGTGGGGACAGTGCTCTCCCCCCACCTCCAGGACTGAATATGTCACAGTCTCCAGCAGGAGAGTCCCTTCAGGCCATGGGCTCCTCCTTCCAGGGCAGTGAGGAGGGTGGGATGGGTCGGAGGGAGGACAAGGGACCCCACCTGGGTGGGTCACAGGGTGGTCTTTTCTACCATGTTGCCCTCTGTCCCCCACACCCACCAGGGCTGCCACCCAGGAACTGGCCCTGCTCATCTCCCGCATGCAAGCCAATGCCGACCAGGTGGAGAGGGACATCCTGGAGACGCAGAAAAGGCTGCAGCAGGTGAGGCTCATGCAGCAGGTGGCCCCTGGTGAGGGTGAAGATGGGACAGACAACCCTCGTCCTTCACTGCCCGCTCCCTAAACACACAGTGGGCTCCCAACATTGGGGACCAAGGGGAGGGGCCCCGGGCTTCCCCCATTATCCTTGCAGCTTGCCCCACAGGTGCACTGTGTTAGGTTTGGGGAGACAGAGAAAAGGGAGAGACTCGAGCCAGGCACCATTTCAGCCAAGAGGCTTTTCTCCACCGACGCGGAGGGGAGACTGAGTCAGATCAGTTCCCCCAAACAAAGGAGAGCAGGAGGTTTATGAGCCTCTGAGGGTTCTGGCAGAGTCATGGGCAATTTCAAAATCAGTGGAATGCAAGGTGACAGCCCCTGTGGGCTGTTAACATCTGGTCGGTTAGGGCGTAGGCTTCTAATTAGTGCCACCACTATGTCAGTGCAAAGCGTTGCAGCCCGAAGCCGGCTCCCCCAGCCCACCAGACGTTCCTTTGATGATAACGGTCATGAGGAATTTCGCTGGCCAGTTCCCAGAGCAGAGAAGGGACAGGGGAAGAGTGTGAAAAGTGGTTTAACGTGGCTGTGCTGGTGTTAAGCCAGCCATGAAGCCTAATACACTGGGCCTGGCCACTCCCTGGTGTAAGCCCCAAGCTTGGCCACTGCAGCTGGGGTCCCAAGGGTGGGGCTCAGGCCCACAGTGCCACAGCAGCGAAGACAAGGCTCGCTGTCCTCCGCCCACAGGACCGGCTGAACAGTGAGCAGAGCCAGGCCCTGCAGCACCAGCAGGAGACGGGCCGCAGCCTGAAGCAGGCCGAGGTGCTGCTCAAGGACCTCTTCCTGGATGTGGACAAGGCCCGGCGGCTCAAGCACCCGCAAGCCGAGGAGATTGAGAGGGAGTGAGTGGGCTGGGGCTGGGGCTGGG